ACTCCGGGTGCCGCCCGCCGCGGTCGTGTGTGACCTCATGTGTGATCTCGTGTGACCTCGTGTGGACCTCATATGTGCCTCGTGTGTGACCTCATATGTGACCTCGTGTGTGACCTCGTGACCTGTGTGTGACCTGTGACCTCGCGTGTGACCTCATATGTGACCTCGCGGTGACCTCGTGTGTGACCTCGTGTGTGACATCGTGTTTGACCGTGACCGGTGTGTGCACAGATGGCGAGAGGCGGCTGCGGCTGCTGCTTAGCTTCGCAATTGGCGGGCTGGTGGGTGATGTCTTCCTCCACCTGCTGCCGGAAGCCATGCGGCACGCGCACAGTAAGGTCGAAGCCACACATCGAACACAGTTAAAGGCCAGAGGTCATGTCGCTACTGATTCAGACTACATGCAAATGTTTCAGTTCGGCTGCCGGTTGACATGAGCATGTATCAGTCATTGCTCGACATCTCCGTGGATGTGTTGAATGTCACGTGTTGGTTTAGGTGGATCAAGTGCGCGCCCTATGACGGGTCAGGCGTGTTTTGCTTATAGTTTGCACTTATAACACGACCAAAGTCAGTTCAGGCTGTGTTGGCCCTGAAGGGGGGTGCCGGTAGTGCAGTGGTTAACGCGTCTGCGTTAATCATGCGCGTGGGAAACCAGAGGTACGGGGTTGGATTCCCCGTGGGCCCGCCTTCCTGCCAGGGTGAGAAGCAGGCAACGCCATATAGCCTCAGCAGCTGAGTGCATCGTAAAGCTCCAATGACATAACGTGACAGGCCCTGAAAGTGATGTCTGAGCTCATTCTCCGCTCCTCCAGCCCTGTCTTGCTCGTCTTGCAAACATGTTATCGACAGAGGGCGTTCTTTCTGAGGTGGGTGAATTTCTGACCAGTGCCTACGGATTAGCGGTCGGGATTTACCGGTTTAAATCACCAGTGAGACGGGTTGTGGGAACGGGGGGGGGGCTGAGAGGCACAGTGTACCACGAAATTCTGCGCGGATTGTAAACATTGAATCGCAGCATGATTCATCAGGCGTGCGTGCTTTTGTTACATTCGACTTCCTGATGTGAGGCTAGCGACGAGAGACTCAGTTACTGCCATACGTTACTTACTCAACGGGGAGGATGAACACTGCCTGGTTCTACCTCCACCCAATATTTGCAGATTTCCTGGCGTGTTTCATTGCAACGTTGCCCAAAGCAAAACAAAATGTAGATAAACTAGATCCAATTACCCTTCTGTCGGTGGTGACACCTTCCGCATACAGAGACGCCTAAAACATAGGAGACGCTTGGCGAAAGCTGCTTGCGTGTTCTAACATTAACGTACGCGTCGTTCAAGTACGCGCGCACCGATGCGTGCAATCTATCGTAACAAGTATCATTGATTGGTTGTGCAGCGCTATTCACAGCTGTTCACCCGTCACATGGGGCTGAGAGATATCAGTACATGTAGGGTTCCCAACCTAGTATCTGCTTGGATAGCTGTACTGCGTTCTCGTTGGGCCTGGCTGCGCTCGGTTCACGTGATCTTAGCCAGATCATCTCCCTGCGTGAACTTTATGCAGGGCCAGGGAGCGAGACAAATGGCTGTGAAGCAAGACGGTAGGCCATGCCAGTACGGCGGCCTGGCCTTGTGAGCGATTAAGCTGTGGCGTGACCGACCTCAAATGACACAGCACGTACTAAAGTTATCTTCGAACATGGCATGTCAGAGTGGGCAAATGGGACGTTTCAAAAGCGCCGCGCGGTGTCACGGTGCGGGTTGCGGCTCCGCACAGGGGAGCTGCTCCGCACAGAGGTCTTCAGAGGCCTGTCCTCTGGTCCCCCGCGGCACCGGAGGACAGGCCGGAGGCTCGGCCCTCTCGCTGCCACCACGCGTCCCCACGCCGCCTCACACTCGGCCGGCGTCGCAGGCGAGGCCGAGCAGATCCGAGTCGGCCTCTGGGTCATCGCCGGCGTGTTCTTCTTCGTCCTGCTCGAGATGGTGTTCAACCAGAGCCTGCAAGAGGAGCCGACGCCGGAGCCGCGGGAGCAGGCCGCCGCGGCGCCGCAGCCGGCGGCCGGCGGCGCCGACCTGCGCAGACGCCACCTGGCGGCCGGCGACCACAGCGCCACTAACGGCAGTGCCAAGGGCGTGCCGCCGCCGCCGCCGCCAGTCGACCGGCCGCCGGTCAGGCAGGTGAGCCGCCGCAGCGTCACCGGTCGGGACGGGCATGCGCGGGAGGGCGGATCGGGTATGGCGCATCAGAGCGCGTGAAATGTGGCGTGACGTCATGTGACCAGGTTTCATGTGATGTGACAACATTCCTTGCATTTTGCACGATGCCAATAGGCGGCACGCTAAATGGCTTCCATCGTGGCTAATGTAAATGGCAGATGGTAGCGTACCAACAGCAGATGCGAACCCACGGCCGTGGTCAGCGTGTTGCGTAGCGATCTTCTATCTTTGAAACCTCACCATTTGTGTTCACAAGCTTGGCCCGTATACACGGCACAACACTGTGTGTCCATTTATCGCTGACAGCTATGGTGTTAGTTGATACTGGCGGCTATCACTGACAGCGGGTTGATAGAAGCGTGACATGTGCTTTCCACTTCTAAGTCTCCAAAGTTCAATCGTGATCCATTCCTTAAGACATGCACTGCGGTCAGGCTTGACCTGTGTCTGGCCTGCGTCTGACCTGTTCTGACCTGACCTGACCCATGACGTCAGGTGGCAGGCTACCTGAACCTGCTAGCCAACAGCGTGGACAACTTCACGCACGGACTGGCCATCGGCGGCAGCTTCCTGGCCAGCACGCGCATAGGCTTGCTGACCACCTTCGCCATCCTGATCCACGAGATACCTCACGAGGTCGGCGACTTCGCATCCTGCTGAAGTCAGGGTGGGTGGGGAAACGAAGTGGCCGAGGGCCGTGTCCCCGGCGGTGCGTGACGGGGGCGTGACGCCATCCCAGACGTGTGTGGAAGAGACGGCGAGACCCGGGGCACGGGCCGCCGGGGGTGGGGAGGGCAGACGGTTGCCAGGGGCTCCGGCGCCGGCCAAACTTCGGGGCGATATCGATTTTGTGTGTGATGTTCCCCTCCACGCAATGTCCGTAGGCGTGATTAGTCCTGCAAAGTTGGGATGGAGGGAACGTGTCTGCCGGCCTACGGAAGTCGTGATGGCCCTTGCGCATTGTTTTTACCCCACGCCTGCAAGACACCATCGCGAAGAGCGCTGGTGCATACCGCGCACGGCGGCGTCCCGAGAACAACGTTTCCGAGAAGTACTCGCTTGGAGTTTGGCGGCCACCCAGCGACCGGCCAGTCCGGACTGCAGGAGGGAGGTGGGGGTGGGGGGTGGGGGCGGGAGGTCATTCTGCCGCTCTCCAGGGTAGGAATTGTGATATGGGAAAGGTGCGGCGGTATTCCCTTCAAACTTCCACTGAAATCAGTCCAGTTTCAACCTCCCCGCATTGCAAATTAATCATTCGGGCAGCCGTGTCGAGCCAAGCATCTGCAGCGTCTCCCTGCCTGGGCGGCTATCTGTGTGGCACGTCACCTGGACCCCACATCGCGTGACCGACCCGGAGGTCTGGCAGGCGACAGGGTGTTGCTGAGTCCGTCCCCCCAGCCTCAGCGTGCGACTGGGCCGCGCCGCGTCAGTGGCGCCCCCGGCCGGCCGGACCCGACCTCACGCTCGCGCTCTGTCCGCCGCCAGGCTTCGGCAGGTGGGAGGCGGCCAAGGCGCAGATGGCGACAGCCACGCTGGGCATCACGGGCGCCATCAGCGCCCTGCTCGCCGACGACCCTAAAGCCCTGGGTGAGCGACGGCTGGCTGGCGCCCGCTGGAGGACGGCGCGGGCAGGTGTCGGCGGCGCCCGACTTCTGGCGTGATAGCGCTCAGGAGGCAATCGCTCGTCGTCGTCGTCCTGGTGCCTCTTGAAGTGCCCTTATGCAACACGTTATGTAACCCAGTGCGCACTCGAGGGCAAGATGAATGCAGGATGCGATAGCTGTGATCGGCCGCCCAATGGACGCCAGACAGCTGACACGCCCGCGTCAATATCCTCTTCAATCTGTTGCTGCGCGCGATGTGTCAACCCCACCCGATAAACTGAAGTTCGGAGAGCATCGCGCAGGTGATCCGATTGCAATACGAGAGCATCGCGCAGGTGATCAGATTGCAGTACGCTCCTGTAACGTGGCTTTGGTCACTCAAAGGCACCTTGAGGCAGAGAGTGTGGTTGCGTCATCAGCCCTTCACCCAAGTCCACAGATTTTCTGTTTGCGCAAGCTCGAAGGTCAATGCGACTAGCTATAGCTGGAGCTGTTTCCGTTTTGGGGTCGCTTTGGGATCATGAGGCGTTTGTATGGATTGATGTGTGATACCTAAGGCGATGATGTGGGCTTAAGTGCTCCAATTGTCGCGTGAGGGTTTGGGATCGCCCGTGACACTGACACGAGCTTGCCCGTCCCTCCCTCTCTCTCTCTTCTCTCTTTCTCTCTCTCTCTCTCTCTCTCTCTCTCTCTCTCTCTCTCTCTATCTCTCTCTCTCTCTCTCTCTCTCTCTCTCTCTCTCTCTATCTCTCTCTCTCTCTCTCTCTCTCTCTCTCTCTCTCTCCTCTCTCTCTCTCTCTCTCTCTCTCGCTCTTCGCTCTCGCTCTCGCTCCTCGCTCTCGCTCTCGCTCTCGGCTCTCGCTCTCGCTCTGCTCGCGTCTCTCTATCGCTCTATCTCTCTCTCTCTCTCTCTCTCTCCTCTCTCTCTCACTCTCCTCTCTTCCCTGGGTGGTGGACGGTCGTGGTTCTTGCAAAATCTCACAAATATCAACAATGCCGCGCGTAGTAAAAGCGGCAGCTCGCGCTAGACGTGGTCCCGTGCTCGTGGATCGCGCGTCGGCGGCATGGCCGCGGCTGACCCTGGCCTGACGGCAGGTGACCGCACGGCCCTGGATCCTGCCATTCACGGCCGGGCGGCTTCATTCACATCGCGCTGGTGGGCGTGCTTGCCCGAGGTGTGCAAGGAGCGCGAGCCGCTGCAGTGTATGAAGCCAGGGCGTCTTGACTGCTGGCCGGCGTGCTGGTCATGCTGGCCGTCTCCGTCACGGTCGAGCACTGAACGCCGCCAGCCGCCGCTGGTGCTCGCTACGGCCGCTCAGCAGCAGCGCAAGGAACTGTGCACCCCGCCAGCAGCCCGAGCACGCCGGGCTCCGCCAGCAGACCAAACTGACCTTGGACCCGCCGGCAGCCGGGTCTGTCTGGCACCCGGCAGGAGCCAGGGGCATGCGGACATTCGAATGGAGCCCGGGGTCTGTAGGGACCCTGGCATGGGCTTGCGGCGGCTGCAGACCTCCAGCCGGAGCCGGAGGTGGCTGTGAGCACGGCGGCGGGAGGAGGCAGCTGCTGATACACGGCGGCGGGAAGCGGCGGCTGCTGATACACGGCGGCGGGAGGAGGCGGCTGCTGATACACGGCGGCGGGAGGCGGCGGCTGCTGATACACGGCGGCGGGAGGAGGCGGCTGCTGATACACAGCGTCGGGAGGAGGTGGCTGCTGAGATATGGCGGGGACCGGAGGCGGCCAGGCGGGGGTCGCAGGTGGCCGTGGACACACATCGGCAGAGGCCCGAGGTGGCTGTAGATTCCCAGTAGACGCTGGGGACTTCCAGAGAGAGCTGTGGCGTGCACGCTTGCCGGGGCGGGACTGTCACCGTCGACTAGTCACCGTTACGCGGCGGGCCAGTGTGGGCCGCGGACCGGCGCCGTCGACGACCGCCGGGCCCACGCCTCAGGCCAGTCTGGACGACGCACCGGGTCTGCACGCGTGTCTGTGCTGCCGTCAGAGTCCCGGCGGGGGTGGTGACGATGGCGGGTGGCGCCACCTGGCTGTCGTCCTCCGGGCGGATCCCTGTGGCGGATACGACGCGGGTCGAGTTCTCGTGGGTAGGAGGACGTTGACATGTCGGTCGGCGTCGTGCGGCTGTGGGCGACCAGTCCGGTCCGGCCGTGCTCACGGCCACGGTAGTGCCGCATCGCATCGCCAGTTCCTAGGGGGGATTATCTACATTTGACATCGTCAAGAGCCGGAGCGATGCCGTGCTCGTGTTGGCGGGCTAGTTCGTGTCCGTCTTTTGGATGACGTGGCGGTCGAAAGAAAGACGTAGCGTGCGTATTTTGCCACGGATGAGCCGTTTCGCCCGGTATTCTGTTCCAAACATGTGATACCAGTTGTCTCCCAAGATGAGCTTTCACGGTTTGTTAATTAGTTAGAGCTAGTTGATGCTATCAGAAGATTTACATGAAAGCGGTTGAACGCAAGGGAAGTGGGCAGAACATTGCAATATTTTGTGATCAGCACCTTTAGATGCCAAGACTGTAGCATGCGCTTTTCATAAATATTACGTGTTTTGCTACCTTATTCGAACAAGATGTCCCCTGCACTTTGGATGCAGCGGCTGACGTAAACACCACGTCTGCCTGTAAATAGCATAGCTCAGGCCAGGAAGAAACGTTAGGAGTATTCGGGGACCTCGTTGAAGATCACTGGCGGACAGCAAATCATTTACTGCTCTAACGTAAGGCTGTCGGTATTTTGGAATGTAATGCAGTTGCTGCTTGAGGCCGGATGTCTCAGTGCGGACACACGAGTGTGGACTATCTGGGATGTGTTCTTATTCGTGTATGATGACGTAATTCACTGTGTTCACTCGCCGCGTTATACAGGCACCGTTTTGACAGGCGCTGCGCCGATATATCAGAGAATGCCAGGGTATTCCGGGTGTTGTCGTAGGCTACTGATGCGGTCGCCCACGCGCCAAGCGTGTAATAAACATGATTTATCTAATGTTTGTCGTTCCATTGCCGAGGGCTGTTCAGCCAAATCACCTAGCACTGAAGAGTGCGGTGACAGCGACTCACACAGCTTCATTCAAACGGATACCCGACGCCTGTCTGGTGGTTCCGCGGTGCTGTAGCGTCGACTCCGAGCTCCTGCGAACCGTCTGATGACGTCAGTCGCGAGTCGCACTTCTGGCTCATAAGTAGACATCCACAAATGGGTAAATGCTGCATACTTCAACGTCTCGGGCAGGGGCAGTTTCTTAAATGTAATAAGAAGACGGACGCGGAACAGACGGCCGAATTTACTATGGACGCCCGCTTCCGCAGTTGTTAGGGACTTCATGTGTGAAATTCGAACAATGTCATCGCTGTCGCTGGCTAAGTAGGAATCGGGCACCATGAGCTCATGGTTCTTGTGCTGTCAGTTATAGACTTTCGACATGCCGGACGGTACTGGTTAAGCGACGTTATAGAGCAAACTGGTTGTATGCCAATAATGGACTTTTCGAGCTGCCCTGATGGTCACGAGTGAAGAATCACGTTATCTGGAGTGGTAAGTTGTGCTGCGTTATGCAAAAAATGTTATACAAAAATTCAGTCCAAGGCAGGAGTGTCAAAAATGTTTCGATTCGCAGATAGTGCCGGCTAAAAGAGGCCAAAATTGTAAATCATCCGAGACTCCACATCCATCGAACCGATATGCGGTTCGACGCTAAATGCTGCATGAATCCCATGCAGCTAAGCCGGCAATATTATGATGACCCATACCGAGCAATCAGTTAGAAAATTACTTTCTACGAATACCAGACACCACGAACATTGCGCGAACCTCACAACGTTGCGGGCATTCAAGTTCTCATCTCCTAGCAACCAATACACGGAAGTGCCAAGGACTACACGATGCACGGTGGCTAAGCCCACTAAGTATCATCTATAGTAAGCCACTAAGCATATAAGACACAGATAAACTTTGCAGTGGGCATTGGTACTAATCACAACGAACAGGGGACTATTTCTAAACTCGTCCTACCTAAACAACGCTGCAGAAATGGTCAAGCCCCAGGACGACGGATGGGTGTATGAGTGCGTATGCGTGTGTTGTGGGTGTGCGTTTGTGTGTGTGTGTGTGTGTGTATGCATGTGTGTGTACGTGTGCGCGCACGTGTGCGTGAGTGTGTTCGACGTCGGACTAACATAACGAATGTGCAGCGATTCTAAGGTCCAATGATCCGTGTTGTCTTTATCTGTGGCGAAAACTTGAATCTTAAAGTTGGGCTCTGTTGCGCTTCGCTCCATTGCTGCTGGTCGGTTGACAGTGTGTTCGCCTAATGATGGTGCATTGCATGGTAGCGCACGCTCTCCCTAAACGCCCGCACCAACGTATTCATTGAACTGGTCACAAGTACTACGCTTTGTTTTCCTCACATCGGCGTTTGCTTGATAGCGTCGTTCAACCAGTACCTGCTGGTATATTGGACCTCGATGATTGCCAGCACCAGAACCTTGAGCTTATTCGTCCGAAGGTGTCATAGCCAGCAAGAATATGCTCCGGCGGTCGGGTCGGGCATTTGGATGTCTTGCAATATTCCAGTGCAATGCTACCACGCGCGCACGGTTCCACTCTCCGGGCGCTTTTCTAGTTATCTTTAAATGGCTGCGTATTTACACTGGGGCTATCACGCAGCGTAAACATCCACCCGTGGACTGTCATCGAGCAAATGTAGATACAACTGAACATTGCCTCAGCACTATCGCAGAATTGCCGAGCATCAGGCTTGGCCACCAGTTCCTATTTGTTTGATATGACCACCGCATGGCGTATTGCCGAATGACGGTGGGCGCTCGGTACGTGGTGCACAAACTACGGCATCGTTTTCAACATACTCGCAACTACCCACGGAGAGTTTGACCGTATACTTTTAAAAGCACTGAATCTGAGACAATTATGCCAACTCCTACTATTTGGTGAAGATACTGACCCCATGCTGCTCGTCCCCACACATTTAAGCTTACCCACCCAAAAAAGATAGCTGGAACTTTGCAACAATGTGTAAATAGCTATCACATATAAACACTATTTTATTTGGGAAATATTTGGCGGTATGACTGCTTTGCTGGTCAAACGAAAGGTTGGTACATCAATGATGCAAAACTAGAAATGGAAATTGCTGAAAGACAGCATTAAGTGGCCCGAATCCATTGACAAGCACGCAGCTGGGCGGTTAAGTCGTCAGGCCCTAGGCTTGGCTCCCTCCCAATAACTTAAAAGAGTTGACGCTCCTGCTTCGGGCTCTGGCACGACGCCCAAACATTACACCCGACTGCCGGCAGTCGTTCGTCCTTTACATGAATTTCACACGGCGCACTGTTGAAAGGCTGGTGGGCACTATGGGTACGAGAGGAAAACAAAGTCCTCATTTTAGAAATACCTACAGTCGAGCCGGGCGAGTGAGAGTACCTGTTAGATGGCAGTGCTTCCGGGCTATCGCAAGACACCCTGCCATCGGGCCCGGTCGACGGTGCCTCTGTGTTTGATATGGCCTCCTCACGGAGGGGATCATCTCAAGCAAAAGAGGCGCCAGCGGTCGGGCCCGGCCATTGGGTGCCGCGCCATCGCCCAGAGCCAATACTGACGAACGATTGCGCTCGTTATGTCCGAGCGCGATGGTGAACATTTTTAAACCGTGCCGTAGTTCTTAAACCACGCACCAAGCGGCCAGCCATGTTCAGTAATGCACCGTGACGGAGCCCTATCTAACAATAAGCTCCGACGATTGGGCCCCATGTTCAGGTAGCGCGTGGTAGCCCTGTGTAGCTGTCCCATTGTCTCCCCCAGCCCCGCCCTTCTCCCGTAAAAACCGCAGTAATAAGCTTCAAGTGAGTGCCGTGAGATTGGCCAGCTTCATGCCAGATCCACAAGCTCTAACGTAAGTGCTATGACGTTGCATGGTAAGAATCCAGGAACAAGTCGCATTTGCCTCTAATACCCCTCAGATGACTCGTCATCACCGGGTAGCAACTTCACCTAGGGCACACAGATCCCAGGGCAATAGGACAGATCCCGCTTGCAACTGGGTGTCACTTGCGTGGTATCGCGTTCATCATGTTCTGAGCTCTGCATTTTACGTTTGCCTGTCAGCGGGGTTTGCTTTATGTTTCCAGCGTCCATCTTATCTTGCTTGCGGTCGTAGCTATTTATGAAACTGAACCAATCAGAATGGAATCCTGTCTGAATCCTGTCTGAAAACTGTCACAAGCATGACCAGCACCTGCTAGCCATATACTTGCTAGCATTTCGACGCACATCTAAGCTGGTCAAAGTCCAGTTGCCAGGCGTTGATGCGCAACAATAAGATCAAGAATGTGCAGCGCTATTGTGCGGTCGGCGATAGCTCTTGCGGACCTGTCTGTCTAAGCTGTCCTGTCTGACACGTCTGATACAAACATGTCTGGTGTTTGAAAAGTGGTTTCTCCCTCATTTTGGCGTTTTTTCTTTCCTTACTTAAGAACAGATGCCTCACTTTGGAATGCTCCGCCGACACAGGCCGGCTTAAAAAACCTTGCAGGGCATGAGCTGCCGGTCCATCAAGGCTTTCACCGGGGATCTCGCGGTCTGCTTGGGGATTCGCCGGTCACTGATGGGGATCATCCCCAAGTTGACGTGTTAAAAGGCCCTGCCCCCCCCCCCCCACCCCCACGCCAGTGCTTTGCTCTTTAAGTAGACCCTGTATTCGGTGATTGCAACTTGCACGTTGACACCGATGTTGAGCAGAACGATGCAACAGTAGGCGTCACGGAGGCGGATGACTCTCAGCCGAGTGGCGTCAGGGATGGTCCAGGGGTCCCAGGGGAACCAACGGGGCTCGCGACGGTCCAGAGTCAGCAGAGCGATGTGTGGAACAGGATGCTGGCGACATCGGGTAGCCGATGGAGTACGCGACGGTACGGCACCAGGTTTCGACACCGGTGGCGATGGCGTGTATCACGATACTGTGCGGGAGCCGGAGCCAGAGGAACTGGGTCCACGTGCATTACTCGGTTAAAAGTAGAGCCCCGTAGTCCGTATGGAGATTGGGAGTGAATTATAAAATGTTTTGGTTTGTCGTGTGGTTCATGTTTTTACGAATGATGCATAATGTTCTCTTCGTACGTACGACTGGTCCGCTTGGTGAGGGTTTTGGTGAAACTGATCCCTTTATTAAAGGGGGGGGGGGGGAGGGAGGAGAGGAATGTGACGTGTCCGAGCGCTTTGGTATGCTGATTGCGCGAGGCGTTGCATGTGGTTTTTGTGTGCGGCGCGTGCATACAAGCATATCCTAATACTATTTCATGCTGTACTGTTGATGTTTGCGTATCTCGCTCACAGACTGCTAGGCCGACTGTTATGACGTAATTTTACAAAAAAAGGACAGCATATGCCTGTTCGTCACAATAGCTGCAATAATATTATCTAAAATGCGGTTGTGCATGCGGCATTCAGCACTCACTGCCAACAGTTTGACATATTCGGCGGACCCTATATTTTCCACAGGCGTCCGATCAGCCCCGCGGACGGCACAGCACGGCTGCCACATGATGTGTGACACCTGACGGCCTGGCAGGCGGACGGTGCCGGCACAGCCGTCCTGTCACCCGTCAGGTGACGACGGTGCCGAGTCTGACCGGGCCGAACAGTCTGACGGGCGGCTGCTGGGCGCCGTGTGTGGCCACAGCAGCTCGGTCGGTGATCCGTGGGTGCACAGGCCGCAGCCGTTGGGTCAATCGGCTCGACTTGACCGGGTCAATGAACCTGGGATGAGCGGCGGGAGGGGTACGATCGAAACAGTGGCCGGCTAGGGCTAATTGCACTAGGTGGCCCATCGCTTTGCTCCATCTCGTGGGTGCGGATAAAATATACTCCGGAAGAAATACGGCTGGAGCGGAGCACACGGAGGAGACAGGCGATTTAGCCGTGGTGACTTCCGGCAGCCGACCACGGCTGACCGCGTGGGGGTCTTAATTGCGCGTAGCCGCAAAGTCCGCGACACGACGTTCTGCCGGGCGAGCGCGGTCGTACCATGCGGCCTTTTCAGCTGCTCGGTCCCCCAGAGCGAGCTGTCCGGGCTGAAAACAGGCGCTGCTTCGTTCAGAAGACGGGTGCGTTTCTGTCACATGGTCGGGGCCGGTCCGCGGTCTTTCAGTCGAGCCCGGCTCGCCCTCTCCGGTTATGTGGGGCCGCAATCGCAAAGCAGCCTACGGCACGCATTGTTCTAATGCGCTGAAGAAGATTCCAACGCCCAAAAATATGAAATGGTCCGTGGTTTTAAAGTGTTACGGAATCTGCTGATATTTTTCCTTGGATCTTGCCTTGAACGTCACGCCCGTCACCTTCCTCATATGATAAAAACAGGTATGTAATTCGGTGTCTCTGGCTACATTTGACTGCTTCAGCTGAAATGGCTGCCGCCGCTAAATATGTCGCCGTCCTCTAACGAGCTAACTAAAATAATCAACAAGTCGCAAATCCACGGACATCAAGTCAGAGGGATCATTTCAACCAGTTCTACGCCGACCTTAGTGATTTGATTGATTGATTGATTAGTGATTTGATGATTGATTAGTGAAGTGATTTGACCTGGCATTGCCCAGACACGAAAATTATTAGCGAAAGATGGGAATATGATTGGTGCTAGGCTGGAAATATGATGACTGCCCGCCCCCTGTGAACACAATGTTCACGTTTTGCGTTTATGACGCAAGTGAGACAATAATGTACAAGACGTTACAGTCAAGGCCTTAGCCCTGTATGGCATTGGGCCGTAGATACGGGAGCGAATGTACGGGAACAGATCACTCATTGTATCCTCAAGTTTTTGACCTTAGTCCAAAGGTAGCACGATTCACGATTGCCACGTAGTGATAGTTACCGTTATTTTTTGCGCATGTGTGAAATTTTCTTAGGCAGCATGATGCAGAATTCCATAATTTGAACTCAAGCCAGCTCAGCTACAACAAATACATTGATTATGCCTATGAGGCACATCTGGGCTACTATTAGACCAATGAGCTGTTGCTAAGAACACAGGTAGTCACATAATAGCTTGGTTTTGCCTTTGGTCCCACAGTATTTAATCTGTTAGCTGCGGAGGTTGTTGTGGTATTGTTGCTTGGTGCTGGGTAATTGGTAAGTTGTGCTTGAAGGCCAGCTTGTAAAGCAGAGCAGAAAGTCTTGTGATGAAAGTCACTGGTCATAACTTATTGGTTCTGCAGTCATTGCAAATGAGTGCCAGATGTCAAAATTAACAAAAGTTGTAATTAGTTTTGTACCCATTGGATGATGTTTTGTGTTGTTTTCCAGAAATGTTGATTAAACAATTTGTCCTGGTGGTTCAGTTGGTTAGGGTACCTACCCTCTGATCCTCCCATCTGTGGAAGTTCAAGTCACTTTAGTTGTTTACTATTAATTGTCCTAGACAGGTATGGCCTTTGGCTAGGCCAAAGAGACAAGCATTGCATTGCAGCACATTAAATTTCTGTGATCACCTTTTGCTGTTTTTGCTGTCTGAAATTACACAATCAGATGGTGGGAGTAATGACTCACATGACAAGCATTTTCAAGTGCCAACTGATAGTAGAAATCACTCTATTTTAATTCAAAAGGCTTAGATTAAGTGTGTAGGAATACATGTGTCGTGATTTTAATTCATTGTCACAATGATCAATCATCAGAAAAGGAAACAAACATGTTTATGAACATATTAAAACAGAAAAGTTACCCTTGTCACCAGTAATTTATAAGTCTGCAGGAGTTAAGTTGTTCTGATCTTCCTTGTCTTTTTTCAATTACACTAGTACAGACTGCCTGCTGTACCACTATCACTGGGTCTGTGGTATCAAGAAGTTCTTCAAATAACACCCACTCAGCAACATAAGTACCACTGACTTCTGGCCTTATACTTATAAGCTCCCAACAAGATTATCATGCCCTTCAATCCTGGTGAACAGAGTGAGGGCACAATGGAACTCATGTTATGCTAATGTTTCAGAGATGGTCACCCAGCATTAAAGGGTATTACAGTGAAAGGAAAAAGCATGCTTTCATGAGGCTGACAAAGGAAACCATGTGAACATGCCATTGGCTTTTCAAATCTGTGATACTGAATTTTTGTGTGATATATTCTCATACCAATTTTTCAGCATGATGCAGCATAAACAATAAATTGTTCTTGTTTTTCAGATGGCTCACATTCAGTTTACAGATAACCTGGTCCGTGAATATCTCATTTCCAGAGGATTCATAACAGCACTGAAAAGCTTTGATAGTGATGTGAAGGCCAGCAAGGACAACAGCTTCCGGGTATGGCTGCACCACTGAAGGCGTATTTTGTTGAAGGAACTGCACTGTTTTAGTATTTCATTAAGCCCAGGCAATCTTAGAATTTGTTGACTTGCTTTTGATGCATGCCAATGCTCTTTGAAATGTTTGTGAATTTATGTGAGCTTTGTTATATGCAAGGAGTGTGAAATGCTGTGAAAAAAATAACATCTATGTGCTGGATATGGTGCATGTTAACCCAACTGAATCAAAATGTATTTCAGGTGGACAAGATAATGGACATTCTTATGTCCAGCATACATAACTTGGATTTGGAGAACTTGAGGACAATGTGGAGTCATCTTGACCAACACATTTTCATCCACTTGGAGTCCCATCAGATGATTGGTAGGATTTCTTCTACTATAAGTTTGGTTGCCTGGAGTGGTTCCTTGAGTGATGTTTACATCAGTTCCCAAAACTGCATGTCCCATGCAGGGTGGATAATGATGCTACTACACAAAAACACCCAATTTAGATTATGTAGCCCCACCTTGGCGAAATACTGCTCAGTAGTCTGTGTTGCATATTAAGGTAACATGGAATGGCAATGACTGACTAGCGTTACCACCACTACGTGAAACCTCGAAGAGTCACCTATGCTTTTATAAATGAAGGATGGTAGCTGAAATTTGTCTGGCTAGATAAGCTCAGATTGTTACCACACTCCAATAAGAAGTTTTCATTGCCCTGGGGAAGGCTTCTTGAGGGCATCTCTCACGCTGTTACCGCTGCCATCACAGCCTCCCGCGAGCTCGGTATTGACCTGCTGAGAAGATACGTGGTGCAGGCAGCATCCACCCCTGACCAGCAGTCGGCAGCCGGCCGCCGAAACAGGGACAAGGTCACAGAGTTCTTCGACAAGATGGCGCCGGAGATACACAGCCGCCATGAATGGCGTGATTGGTTCGGTGAGCGCACCGTTGATCAGGTGTGATGCTCTTGGTGCTAGTGATCCTTTTATCCGTGACCTGTTTCAGCAATGTGTTCTTGCCCTGTTCACTTATTGTTAGGTACGTTTCTCACACGGTTATCACACATAAATTTGTGTGATAATCATCCTCACGATTTACAAATTGTGTCTCCTTTCAAGCCGCAAGGTGGAATTCGTGGATGATTCATACGTGTCTAGGTATACAGTCTGTCTAAGTGTGTATTGTGCGTCAAATGTAAGTTGTCAGGAGTGCAGTCCAATAAGTATGGTTTCATATGGCATCCCAACATTGCCAGTTTGATCTGTTCATTCGTGATTGGTCGGCTTGCAGCGCTGCCTTTCCTCAAGACGCCCGAGGACCACCCAACGTTCGCCGTCTTTTTTAGTCGACAATGGCAAGACACGCTCACCGTTTCACTTCACAACTTCCTCTCCATCGTCTTCCAGGTAAGTGCCGAGAACAATTGCATAACCTATGTATAGCGCGAGACATGCCAGTGCACAGCTGCAGCCTGTACAGAACGCGGTGACGTGTCCTCCCCCGCCACTGTCCGTCGTTCCAGTGTATGAGCCCGCCGACGCTGGCCAAGTACCAGGAGGACTCGGCGCTGCTGCTGCAGCTGCAGCGGGAAAACATGGACCTGCGCTCGCGGCTGGAGGCGCTGACGGGCGCCGCCGAGCCGCCGCCACCCGAACCGCCCGCCGTCCAGCCGCTCATGGACGACTTCAGCGTGGTGGCGCAGTGAGTGAAGTCCGGGCGGCCGTCACACGGTGGCTGCGCACCGATGGGCGCCTGGTGAACCAGGCCGGCGTCGCTGGCCAGTACGTGGCGCTCGTCGCTGAATTGTTCACGACCACCGCGGCACGAGTTTGCGCGCGCGCGCTGTGTGGAATTTGCGACAGGCGGGTGAGAAGGCCGCGTGAACTGGTGCGTGCTGCAGTAGCGACTGGTTTCCATCGAGTACCGCCTGGTTTTCAGCGAGACTCCGGCCGCCGACAATTCGTCGTCGTCCAAGTTCCGCTCTCTGATGCGCTCCATCGGCTCGACCTCGCCGGGCTCGCGCCGCCGCTCCCCCGGTAACCGTCCCGCCGCCGGGTAAGCAGCCGATGTCGCCCGGTTAGGAGGTACCGGTCCCGCCGCCGGGTAAGCAGCCGATGTCGCCCGGTCAGGGGGTACCGGTCCCGCCGCTGGGTAAGCAGCCGATGTCGCCCGGTCAGGGGGTACCGGTCCCGCCGCCGGGTGAGCAGCCGATGTCGCCCGGTCAGGGGGTACCGGTCCCGCCGCCGGGTAAGTAGCCGATGTCGCCCGGTCATGAGGTACCGGTCCCGCCGCCGGGTAAGTAGCCGATGTCGCCCGGTCATGAGGTACCGGTCCCGCCGCCGGGTAAGTAGCCGATGTCGCCCGGTCAGGGGGTACCGGTCCCGCCGCTGCGTAAGCAGCCGATGTCGCCCGGTCAGGGGGTACCGGTCCCGCCGCCGGGTAAGCAGCCGATGTCGCCCGGTCAGGGGGTACCGGTCCCGCCGCCGGGTAAGTAGCCGAGTCGCCGGTAGGGGGTGGTGGGGGAGGTCGCCGCCGGGTGAGCAGCCGATGTCGCCCGGTCAGGGGGTACCGGTCCCGCCGCCGGGTGAGCAGCCGATGTCGCCCGGTCAGGGGGTACCGGTCCCGCCGCCGGGTAAGTAGCCGATGTCGCCCGGTCAGGGGGTACCGGTCCCGCCGCCGGGTGAGCAGCCGATGTCGCCCGGTCAGGGGGTACCGGTCCCGCCGCCGGGTGAGCAGCCGATGTCGCCCGGTCAGGGGGTACCGGTCCCGCCGCCGGGTAAGTAGCCGATGTCGCCCGGTCAGGAGGTACCGGTCCGCCGATCGCGGGTTCTGTGCGGCCGGGCGGTCGGTGTGATGGTCTGCTGCCGCGACAACGGGCGGCAATGTGGTGACTGCGAATTGTCGGCGGCCCTAGCGTTGTGAACGAGCAGATTACCTGCCCACCTGGCTGACTACTCGGAATATTCCTAGCCGCCGCCGGGTACCCCCGTACCTATTTTTTATGTTTATGAAGCTAAAAGTTCCAAACAAGGTTGAATGAAAAGGACCGCGCAAGGCAGTGAGCCACGATTGGGCATGTCAAGTTCAAGTAATTTCGCTTTTACTGCGATTTCTAAACCTCTCGACCACCTGCCCCCTGTGCTGTTACCGGACCAGTGTCGCCGCGCGTGCGCGTGGGTCGGCCGGCGCGCTGTCTGACCGTGCCGCTGCCGTGCCGCAGCGGCGGCCGCCAGGAGCCGGTGGCCCCGGCCCGGCTGGTACGCTCCGTGTCGGCCAGTCGACGGCCGCCGGCGCCGCCTGAGCCGGCCCGCCGACGGGCCCCGACGCCGACAGCGGTCCTGTGCTGCTCGGACAGGTGGGTGGGTGGGTGCGGGCTGGGCCGGGCACCGGCCCGCCGGGGCGGGAGCGTTCAGAGCCGGCGGGGTGTGGTGACGATCTGTTTTTGAGTTGGCCATACGGCGGGTATGTTTTCTCTTAGTCAGACATGCTGCTCCTGGTGCATCCGCTGTGGAAATGCGAAGCCGTGCTATATGTGAAGACTGCTTTGTGAGTGGTGTGCAAGATCCGTAACATAGAAACGTTAATAGTTTGCTCACATTGGTCTTCGTTTGGAAGGTTAGGTAATTGCGACAAACTCGTACTTGTCTTCAACGCTCTTTTGTTCTTCCGCATTGAAATCATGATGAAACTCAGCTTGCGCAGATCTTGGAAGCCAGATTTCTGTGACGCGTGAAAACGCAGTCTCGAGCACGCTATGAGGCATAACAAAGCTCAGACGGTGCGCCCAATTACCACCGTGCCTGGGTGCCGCCCCACCGCGGGGGCGCCGCGGTGTCGGTGCGGTCTGACGGCGCCCGCCGCCGGCAGGAGGCGCTGCCCGGCCACCGGGCGGCCGTCACCCACGGCCGCTTCAGTCCGTCCGGTCTGCTGCTGGCCACGTGCGACATGGACGGCGCCGTGCGCGTGTGGGCGCCCGCCCCGCCGCCCAAGTGAGCTGTCGGCGGGGTCCCGCCCGCCGCCGTCCCGCCGGCCGCGGGGAGATGGGAACGGTGGGCCGACACCCTGCGGCTTGGAAAGCTGATCACAAGTGGCCACCGCGACAGCTCCGTCTTGGGATCGGGAGTGGAAACGGTTCGCGGGATGACTGTGCCGTAGTAGCTCTAACGTCGCCTTAGAAAAGAAGCTCGCCGCTGGGTGCGTCTTGCCACTGCTAAGGCAGCTCTCCCGAGCTACAGCCTGACCTCAGTCAGCTGCCTCATGGACATGGGGAGTTGATCGAATGCGGTCAGAGCCATGTGGCACGTCGCGCCACAAACTGCCTCCGACACTGCTGTGTGCGCAGCGTGAGCCTCAGTGGCGTGACGCCCAGCCCCGGCTGCGCCAGGCAGGTGTGCACGATGAAGGCGCGCTCTCCCGTCCTCTCGTGCTGCTGGCTCAGCGCCCATCTACTGGCCTACGGCACCGCCACCGGCGACGTCAAGATCTACGACGTGGTGAAGCGGCGCCAGCTAATGGAGCTGGGCGGCGACGCGCTTGCCGGCGCTCAGGACAAACGGTGGGCTGCTGCCGACGGCGAGCGCCGCTTGTCGGGGGCCCCGGGACGGGGCATGTGGGGCGATTGCCAGCACGGATGGCTGGCTGGGGTCAGGGTCGCCGCTCCGCGCCATGGGCGCGGGGCCAAGTGTATATCTCCCCGCCCCCCCCCCCCCCCCCCCCTCCCAGGAGGCTGGGTGCCGAGCTCCGGCAGATGGTAGGATCGTTTTGACGTTGACTGTGCCCTGGGCTTGAAGACATCGCGTCACATCCTGCTCGGCTTGTCTGGAACCATTGGCCGGTTCCCCTCGCTGGCTGGCCGCCTTATCTCATTTCTAGGGCTGGTAGGTTTTCCCACGGGTGCATGAGCTGCGTGCGTGTGTAACCGCGAGCCCCGCCCGTAGGGTGCTGTACTCCCTGACCGGGGCCCAGCCCGTCCACTTCCCGTGCTGTGCTCGCTGGCCGTCGCGCGCCGGCAGCGGGTCACCGCGCTCCGACCTGCTCATCTACGACCTCAAGGCGTCCAAGGAGGAGGTGAGTGACCGGCTCGTGCCGTCGTCGACCCTCAACCACTACCCCTGGACTGGTTGTTTTAAGTTTCTCGCAAAATCTCCGCGGAGGTGGTCCAAGGCTGTTGCAGTCAGCGAATTGAGGCCTGGTTACTTTTGTCGGGGCCGATCAGCAGAGCACACTGATGAAGCTGGTTTTCTAACGATGCCTGGAGTGTAAGTCTCGAGGACAGCTTGATAATATGACTGTCTACGTCACCGTTATGCCGTCGCTGGTTCTCTCCGCGCTCGGGCGCTGCCTGACCACGCCCGACCCGGCCGCCAGTGCACGCTAAGTCTGCCGGCCGGCGTCACGTGCGGCGGCGCCGGAGTTCAACACAACGGCCAGCTGTTGCTGTGCGCCCTGCAGCGACGGTCACGTGCGCGTGTACGACTGGTCGCATGGAGGCTGTATCAGGACTGGACGGCGCACACTGGCGCCGCGCTCACTCTGCGCCTCTCGCCCGACCAGACGCACATCTATACACTGGGCGCCGACAACAAGGTGAGACTAGGCCGGACAGAGGCACATCTACACACTGGGCGCCGACAACAAGGTGAGACTGGGGCGGACAGACGCACATCTATACACTGGGCGCCGACAAGTGAGAGACTGGCCGATATACGACATCTACGCACTGGGCGCCGACAACAAGGTGAGACTGGGCCGGACAGAGACACATATTTATAGTGAACCCTGCAGAACAGGACGATGTGATTGACAGAATTCGGAAGTCAGGAGAAGAAACGGTTAAGCTACGTTTCATTTTATTTGCCGTCAAGCGCTTGGTCTTTCACGTTTCTGTCGCAGTCAGCTGGCATGCATTGTCACAAGTGGAGTTTTCTGATGACCAAATCGCCGTGGCAGTCTACTTTGTCGTGTCTTCTTCTTTTGACTCGGCTTTGTTTTGCCTGCCCATCCATAATGGTCGGTGGAATCACCTTGGGACTAGAAGTGGGCTTCAATGCTGTTGATTATGGCTAACCGCGCTCTTCTGCATTGGACCGCGTTGCTCCGCGATGGTTGGTCACTTGTAGAGTTTACTGGAGCGACCGCTGCCCTGAGCCACATGCAGCCGGGCCCCGACGTGCTTTACAGCGGCCGTGCTGACCACGCCGCCAGTTTGTCACGTGGAGCCTGGCCCAGACGGGCAGTCAGCTGGCCGAGTGGCCGCTGCACGAGCGGGCGAGCGGGCCGTTCGTGCTGAGTCGGCCGGCGGCCGGCGGCGAGCCGGTCCAGCAGCGGCCCTACGGACAGCTGTTCGCGCTGGACCACCGGCAGCACCTGCTGACCTGCGGCAGCACCGGCGGGCGCCTCTACAAGGTGGTCCAACGCGCAGCAGCTGAGGGCGTCATATACCCCCCGCGCTGTGGGTTAAACTTTGCTGTGTTTAGAGCGCGGGGTTTCGAGTCCTGTTCAGTGAGTAGGCTTTGCACATCGGGGGTTTATCTTAAGACTCTAGAAAATGCGGACGGTTTTTTTACTGCTGCAGCCAGTGCGTGATGGCGAGCCTTTGTCGCGAAAGGCGTCTTGACACTTGCCTCTTGTCCCAGGTACACTAAATTGCCTGTTTGTGGCAGCACATAACCTTTTATGACGTCATCGGGAGAACCATATGGTCACGTGGGTGTAGCGCACCATGAACGGAGGCCACCGGTTGGTGGTAATCCTGTGTTGGCTTGTGTTGACCTTACGACGTCACTCGTTTCAGCTGAGCGGCGCCGCCCTGGAGCCGGCAGCCAGCCCGGGCGCCGCCGCTCTGGAGCCGGTGCTCAGTCTGGGCGGTCATGTGACCTCGGTGCTGACCTGCGACATGGCTGACAACATGTGCGTCACGGCCTCGTTGGACGGTGTGGTGAAGACGTCCAGTCTGCTGCTGCACGGCTGATCGGCCACTGCAGCCTGTCAGACTGTCAGTTCCAGTCTGCTGCAGCCTGACAGGCGCGGGCTAGTCTGCTGCAGTGTGTCAGT